AAAAACTGACATTTTGACAAAAGGTTTCAATGAAAGAAATTCTAAAAGTGTTCTCTACATACCCTAATTTTATAAGAAACATGCAGGCAAAGATACAGTTTTGAAAAAAAAATTACAAACATTTTCATCAATATTTCTTAGTTTTTGACCAAAAATGACAAAGAACTGACATTTTGACAGAGACAGAGATTTTAATAAAAAAATAAAATAAAATGTTCTCTAAATGGCCTAATTTTATGAGAAATGTGTAGAAAAAGAAAAATGTTTTAACAATAATATTACAAAAAGTTTTTGTCAGTTTTTGTCACACATCTTCAAAAAATAAAATATTCTTAAAAAAGGGATTCAGAGAACTGGCGTACAGCTGCTGTAGGTGTCGTCCCAGTTCAGTCTCAGTACATCCAAACATTTTTTTTAAATAAATAAGCAGCACATCTGCTGTTTGTTTTTTACATGTTTTTGCTGTGTAACCTGGCCATACAACAGGCCAAAACATGACCATATATACTGGTCTGGGTATTAACAGCTCTAAGTCTGATTGTTCTTTATGTTATCATAACATAAATGATGTGTCTTTCCAAGAAGACATCCGATCTGGCCTTTACTAATTAATTGCAAGAAAAAAATCAATTGTGTGTAATTTGTGAAAGTAAATATTATACATTGGTAATTATGGATGTAATGATGCATCATGAATCAATACAAATTTGTGACAATTTGCTTCTGTTGAAATAAAAATTGATCGCACAAGGTGTAAGGCGTCTAGTCCAGTAGGTGGCGGTATGTTCCTAAAAAGTTGGTTGTGTCCCACTATTAAACCAGAAGTCAGGTCCCTACGTAGGCTAAGAGACGTTCAGGTGTTGGAACAGAACGTGGGAAGAACTGGTTCCACAGACACCAACAGTGTTCTGGAGTGGAACTCTTTCCACTTCCTGTTTTTTCTCTTCTGCTTCTGTTGTTGTTTCATATATTGACAGTTAACCAGGTCAGCCAGACCAGCTCATTTTTTTTAAAAAATTATGAAAAAATTGTATTAAGAGGAAAAAAACAATTGTGAATCATATCGTATTGTGAATTGAGTGACTGGTTTTCAACCAGCAGTGTATGCAGGGTTACATAGTACCATTCATACCAGGTCTGAAGTGAATGCAGTAATCGTCCGTTATTTTCTTAAATGTATGTTTTTATTTGTTTTATCCTTTGCTACGTTTTTTTCTCTTTTTCAGTCTAGACTGGAAACTAACTTACTGAAAGGTAAGTACAGCTGTCATTTAAAAGGTGAGAGAATTAAGTTATGAATGCTGAAGGTAGTAAAAATATTACTCTTTACTGCGTCCTCCACATGTCTGTGATTTTGTGAAATAATTTGGTTTCTAAGTGAAAAGGAAATGACTAATATTTTAGAGTGAATGAAGTATTTTATAAAAAGTGAAGAATTTATATCAAATATATTTTCCCTAAGCTTGGACTACAGATTTGGTCTGTTATTCCTCATGCTGAAGAAAGAACTGGATCAGAACATCAGATGTAAAGATATAATGTTGGCCAAGTGGTGCTTATAGTACAGAGATGTCAATAATTAGGTTTGGACACAAGAAAACATTTCAACCATGGCAGCTGTTACAACATTTAAACATGTTGAACACAGTGAAACTGCTCCATCTAGAGGTAAACCTACAAAAGTACCTTTCACTCCTGACACTGAACGTATTTGTCCCGGTGAGAAACAAAAAGGTCTGGTGACGATGATGATGATGACGATGATGATGATGATGACGATGATGCCAGAAGTCCTACGTTCTTTTACTCCCTGTGACATTTAAAAAAGACCAGTTTGACTTTGAATCAGAGCAGATCAATGGTGATGTTCCAGTGTTTCTGGACAAAAATGGGACTTTTTACTATTCTGTTATTGAAGAGAACAATGTCAGTTGATGAGCTTCACAGACCAGGTCAGTTGATGAGCTGAGTAAAATTAAAGGCAAAATGGACATTGTATATATAAAATTCCAAAGGGTTTTGGGCATGAATGCACATATCTGTATCATGTCATTTATTTATGGAAAATATTTTTTAAAGAGTCAAAAACATATCGCCCAGCTTTAAATGTTGGTAAATAAAACTTTGCAGATTTCATGAGAGTTCCACTGGGACCAGGACACAAGTCAAAACGCTGTCCAGAACTTTCAGAATGACGCTCAGGTGTCCTGACCACATTTGTCCACGGTGTGGGGCTATTTGGTGCTCAGTTGGTGCATACAATAAACTAAACTTAAACTTATCTTTATTTGTCATTGTGACACAGCACAGCACAGCACACCATGCACAACGAAATTTGCCCTCTGCATTTAACCCATCACCAAAGTGAACAGTGGGCAGCCGTGGTCAGCGCCCGGGGAGCAGTGCTTGAGGACGATGCCATGCTCAGTGCATCTCAGTGGCAACCTGGCAGTTGGTGGATTCGAACCTGGGGCCTTCCGGACAACAAAAAGAATGTAGAGTGGAGAAGAATAAGTGTGGATTTGATGTCCAGATAAAAGAGCATAAAACCTTATTTATGGATCAACAAAATGATGTAGAGATGAATATATGAACACAAGGGTTAGGGTTAGATTGGTCACAGGTCATCTGTATCATATTTAAATAAGTGACATGAATTCTCACAAGGACATTGGTGACCTCCTGGTCTGGGCCAGTGAGGAGAAACTGCACGGTTCCTGCAAAGGTTGGTGACACAGCACTATTTCCAACAACCAAACCACCCACGTTGGAGAAAATGCTACGGATGCCCTCAGAGTGGAACCCCAGACCACTGGAACCACTGTTATACCACTGTTATCGTTGTGGGAGCAGACAACATTTTTTGCTGTCCTGGCTGTCCAATGAGAGGGCAGAGATTGTACGGAGGGTGGTCAGACATAGGGTGCGCGGGCCAGAACCGGCCTGTGGTTCTCCACAG